TTTTATTTACAGATTGGCAGCAGTTTGCAAGTTAAAGAAGTTAAGGACACACTATGTGTCACAGCAAACTCTGTCCTCTTATCACTATTCACTGCCCCACCCCCTAGTACAGTCCAGGAGCCATGCTGGCTATGCAGTTGGGGAGCAACAACATCTAGTGCCTATGGCTACCACTATCACCACATTCCTTCTTCCTTCCTCCAGAGATTGTAGTTGTTGCTGACCTGCTTGCCTGCTCTGGAATGCCTGCAATCTCCATTCTGTGCTGCAGATCAGTGCTTGTTTGTTTTTTCCCCAGAATGTGCCTTCTTCTCCCATGCACTGTGTCCTCAGGAAGGACATTGGTCAGAGCTATTGATACAATAGCTAATATAATTTAAAATTTAGATTTGTAATTCCAATGTCACATTTATATCTACATTTCATCTGCAAAACATACATAGGGTTGTCTTCCCAAAAAAAGAAGAGTAGGTGCAGTTCTCTGGAACTGCCTCACTCACATTATTGCACCATGAGGAATATTCTTTTTTTTTAATTGGAAGAACGATCACAATTGAGGCCAAATTTATATTACTGAGAAATTTGTTAAGTGAGTTTTGCCCCATTCTATGACTTTTCTTGCCACATTTGTTAAGTGAATCACTGCAGTTGTTAAATTAGTAATATGGTTGTTAAGTGAATCTGGTTCCCCCCCCCTTTTTTTAAAATTTGATTTATATGCCGCCCTTCTCCGGAGACTCAGGGCGGCTTACAATGCATTAAGCAATAGCCTTCATACTTTTGTAATTTATACAAAGTCAGCTTATTGCCCCCACAAACTGGGTCCTCATTTTACCTACCTTAGAAAGGATGGAAGGCTGAGTCAACGTTGAACCTGGTGAGATACAAACTTACAGTAATTGCAGGCAGCTGGTGTTAATCACAATGCTTTTAGTCTGCTGACCCACCGGGCCCCCTTGACGTTGCTTGTCAGAAGGTTCCAAAAGGTGATCACATGACCCCAGGACATTGCAACCATCATAAATGTGAATCAGTTGACAAGCATCCAAATATAAATCACATGATGCTGCAATGATCGTAAGTGTGAAAAATGGTCATAAGTCTCTTTTTTCAATGCTGTTGTAACTTCAAATAGTCACTAAGTAAATTGTGGTAAGTTGAGGACCACCTGTATATTGATTTACAAAGGTGGCAATTGACACAGAAAATCAGGATAATGGAGGCAGGCAGCTCATCTGACCTTGTGATAGCATACCTGTCCTTCAAAACCAACACTGAGCTTCTCTTTCCTTTTACCCAATCCAATACTCACATGAGCAGAACAGCAATCATACCAGTAAAATATGCCACACTTAAGCTGTATGTTCTCTCCAGATTCTAATATTTGATGCATCCCTTCAAAATATGAGGGGGGGGGGGAGAATCTAATCTAATATCTATTCAGAGTATTGGATAAGTTTTCAGTGACAAAGCCCAGACTTAGTATGTCTTGAAAGACATGGAATGTTGTGTGTGGTTGGGGTTTTCCTTCCCTTTTCCTGATTTGGGAAATACTTCTTTTCCTTTTTGAATGTGTTGATTTGATATTTGTGGCTTGTACTAATGTTTTCATTTTCCTGCTTTTAAGAAGTGGGAAACTCTGCCATAGAAGTTTAGCAATTGAAATTCAGCTATGAAATAGGAAAAACCTTCTGGGAGAGAAAGGAAAAGGCTTTTTAATAAGCAGCAGTCTCCTGCAGCTGTTTTGTAACAGGCACTGTCACATCCCCAATGTCAAAAATACAGCTAAGACCTGAAGAAGACAAACCACCCCAAGTCAAGCCTTCAGCACCCCCTTTTTGTTATCCCAGTCAGCTTGAGTGAGCAGTCCTGCCATTAACTGATAGCTCATATTCTGAAAATGACACTCCCATGCCTTTGTGGCTCCAAAAAGGGCCACAGGCTTTTAAAGTTTTGCAGACATGGACAAAGCAAAAAAGGATTTCATGTCTTTGGCAGAATTCTTAGTTCAGATCCATACTGTTCAATTATCAAAAGCACAGACCACCCCATCCCCTATTTCTCAAGTGCAAGAACAGACAAAATTGTCCTCAATTTATTCTCAGTTCACTGCAAATGCAGTCTTGCCTGTGTTTTGAAATTGTCTTCCATCCTGAGCCATCTTAAGTCCTTCCATAAACTTGATCCATTGCATCTCATTCAAATCTAGCAACATTCCAATTCTGGCTAGAACAATTGGGATCCATTCCCAGTATCTGGTCATTATAACCTACAGTGATTTCATACTGGTCTACAGGAATATTATTTTCTCAGATAATCAGCAGCTTCCATTTTTCCTCTTCCAGTTCATCCATAAAGACCTTGGAGTTTGGTAGTCTTATGGTCACAATTGTTTTTTCACATATTCATTGCCACAGTTTCTATGGGCCCAGAATGAAACAGTGTTTCTTTTGCTTTGATCACTGAAGCAATAATGATACAATAAAAGAAAGAGGAAAAAATCTGTACTAGAGTCAAAGAAAAAGAATGTAGGAAGGGCTGGTGGTGAAGGAATCCATATGTTGCAAACATATGGAAAAGGAAATGGAACTACTGAGGAGGAAACAATACCGAAGAGAGAAAGCAGGCAGCGATAAATCTTATTACCTGCCTACATAAGGACCAGTCAGTAAAGTATGACTTTCCTGCATTGAGGAAAAAGTCAAGATACAGGGAAATGACCAGGGATGAAATGGTTCTGGTTTGGACCAGATCGCCCAATCCGGTAGCAATGGCGGCGGGTGGTTCGGAGAACCGGTAGCAAAAATCCCTGCACACCCCCCATGCCCAGCTGAGCCGCATTGTTTTTTTTATTTTTAAAAGCATTTATTCTACAACTTTTTCCGCCGAAAAAATGCTTTTAAAAGTAAAAAAAAAAGCCTCTGATGATCGCGCGGCTCAGCTGGGATCATCAGAGGCTTTTCAAACCATTTTTTTCTGCAACCTCTTCCAGGGAAGAGGTGGTTAAAAAAAATGCTTTGAAAAGGCTCTGACTATCAGGCAACTCAGCTGGGATCATCAGAGAGACTTTTAAAGCATTTTTTTCTGCAACCTCTTCAGCGGAAGAGGTGGTTTAAAAAATGCTTTGAAAAGGCTCTGACGATCCCAGCTGTGTTGCCTGATCGGCAGAGCCTTTTCAAAGCATTTTTTTGCATTTGCAGAAAAAATGCTTTGAAGTTTTTTTTAAAAAAAAGTTGGCCACGTCCACCCAGTCACATTACCCCCCCCCCACCAAGCCACGCCCACAGAACCGGTAGTAACAAATTTTACATTTCACCCCTGGAAATGACCAATTAGGCTTTATACTGGCCATAATTAATTTCCAAGGTAGGTGGATGGTTAAGAAATATAATAAAGCAATCAATCAATTCAGCCTGAGAACCAACCTAACTCTATTGTGAAACCAGTGTAATTCAATTGGAATTTGTTAAGTCAATTTTGGAAGCAGCATGGGAGTATCCGTCCTTACTCTGTCACAATTCGGACCCTTGTGCTGTAGACTAGATCTTACCCAGATTCTGTTAGGTTAGACCAGATCAAGTGATATTTGCATCTTTTCTTTCTCATTTTCTTCATTGTGGTGTGGAAATGAAATGTAAACTTGAAGAAGCTTACGTTTGGTGAAATGGTTAGTTAGTTTACTTTATTGTCATTGCACTTCATACAACGAAATTAAATGCCATCTTCAGTGTGGCATTATAACTATAAAAATAAAACACAAACACACATCCTTTGCATTCTATACAATTAAATTGAAAACCCCTGATGTTGCATTAATATTGCATTCACCAAAGCAATGATCTTTGTGGTCTTCAAAGCAATTGTTCAAAGTTGCTAATCTGAGGAATTTCCCTTACTCAGTATTACAGTAATACTCAGTTGCACAAGCTAGCTTGATCAATATTATGGAATTCTAAAATTCAGAAGGCAGGAAGTTCCTCATCCTTCTCCTACTATAGTTTGTCTCAAGGGCAAAAGAATGTGTGATGCTATAAGATCCTGAAAAAACAATGACTGAATTTCCTTTCTTTTTCATCCTAATGCTATATGCAGCCATGAGGCAATCTCAGTTCAAATGGTAGTTAGAGCAATGGGAAATATTTTTAATCTTCTTCACATCATATTCCTGATCCAAATCTCTTCTACTCAAATCTCTGGCCCAATAAGGGAAAACATATAGATATAAATAATTATCTTTTGGCTGCATGCAAGGAAAGCAGCAGAAACAGCAGAAGTTTTTCTTTCTCTCCCCCAAACTCCGCCTCTGCGGCTTCCAAACCCCAGCCAGGGCAGTGGCCGCTCTGGTAGTGTGCTTCCCACTCTATGGTGACGGCTGGACCTGGATCCTACAGGGGGAACTGGCCCAGGCCATGGCTTCTGTGTGGGTGCTGGGCGCTGGCAGCATTGGCTACAATGACCTGGTGCTCACCAGCTTTGCCCACATCGATGTGGTGAGGCCTGGGAGGCACGCAACCGGAGGGGAAGGGTGAGTCAGGCACTCACACGGCTTGGCGCCTTTTGCCCTTCTGCATTCTATACACACACACACCGCAGGAGGGGAGGGGCTTGATGGCGGCGTGTAGAGGGAGCCTCTCTCTGCCGGACTCCCAGCTATGAGTGCACAGCCACCTGAGGACTCCTGCACCCCTGAAATAATAAGACCCCCAATAATAAGGCCAAGCCCTTATTACCTGTCCCCTGTCTTATTTTCGAGGAAACACAGTACCTCTAATCATTATTCTATGAAGAAGTCAGAACTTGAAATACCCATTATGTACAGTAAACTAATTTTATCCAAGTTATATCCAAGTTCAGGGCTTTCTGTGACCAAAATAATAAATGTAAATGTTTTAACAACATTTAGGATACTACTCTTAAATATTTAATTAAGGTACCTTTGTTCAAGCCATTGTACACTTAACTAGAGTCACAAAATAAAAAAATATCTACAGCTACAAAACTATTGTTATGTTGCTTATATTTTTATTGTTGTTCTCTGAAATAGTCGGGGTTACCATGGGTGGCTATATAAGTCGTTTAAATGAATAAATATTCTAAATCAGGATATCTATTAGTGCAGACACATTAAAATAAGAAATCTTTTGGTGTTGGTGAAACCAATTAAGCTAACTATGTCCGGCTGAACCGATTTACGTCACAAAAATTGATAGAAATATGTATGAGATACTTGGCTGACATTAGCTGAACTACTTCAATTGTAGAGAGGCGAAAAATTTTTACTGGACAATAATTCTGTATCAAATATGTAAGAAAACTAGAGAAATATTATACTGCCAACATGAATCAGATGTTATCATCTTCATCCTAATTTTCATTTTAGAAATCCCTTTTCTATTGCAAAAAACATCAGTTGAAAAAATACAGTAGTTCTCAAAACTTTTTTTCATGTCACTGATATTTTTACCCACAATTGTCAGAAAGCTACCAGAATTCCTGAGTATAATATATGGTGTTATATAGGAGTTTAGTTTTAACAAATGTTTCTCATTGCTTGAAGCTGTAGAACCAGTCCTAAAGCAGGGATAACAATTGGATTTGGTGTGACTGCAGGACATAAATCTCCATTCTTCATGATGAATTTATTCTGTATGAATAAATTTCAATTTATTAATCAAAACTTCAAACTTTCTGATGCAGTCTAAAATTTAACCTAAAATTGTATAATATACTTTTTTTTTGCCTGCATGTACATGTAGATATAGGTTGATAATGAGGTATAGCACTTTCACAGAATAGTTGACAGAGGTCAGTCACTTCCTCTTCCATTCCTTCAATCTGAGGGAAGCAGAGAACAAGAAGTTTTGACACCACACATGGTTCTGTGGGAAATGTGTTCTAGGAATAACTACTGAGAGATGTTGCTGGAGAAAAAGACAGCCCTTGATTTGGCCTGGCAAACTTGCAGTTGCCTCTGCTTCTCCCTTTCTCTGCACTGTGCTGTATTTGAACGAAGTCTCTCCCTGACTTTCTCTTAATTTTGTCCTTTATTTCTGTTCCTTCATTTCTCTGTCATTTATGAGCAGTACCGGAATTTATAATCCAGGACACAAAAATGTCTGATTCCTTTCTGTTTTACAAGATTGTTGATATTTAACAAGGTTTGACAGGCTGTTTTTTTTTTAACCAAACAATTCTCTGGACTCAGAGAATGGATGACTAGAGGCTAGTCTGTGGAAGAGCAAAAGAAGGACAGCTGACCAACCACATCTTTGCACAGGAATTTGTCTACTGATGAGAGCTCTTTATTTCAGAATGGGATAGCAGAAAAACATCAGACATTGATAATTCCTTGTTCTTTGTTGAGTTCAAAGGGCATGAATGCCATTGAGCTTATTATTAACAGCTCTTAGATGGAGGCAATCCTATTAACCAGTTCAGCAGCCTTGCAGTAGCTATAACTGTTATTCCTTTCATTGCCCTAGTTATTTCTGCTCTGGAGAACTCTGGGGATATATTATCTTGAGCTTCTTATGTCTATGCAATTCTGTTTTTATTGTCCTGTACCGTCTGCCAGATAGTAAATGTTCAAAAAAAGGGTGCCCAAGATGTGATGGATCTTTAAGAATGTTTTGAACTTTCTTAAGGCAGTGGGAGCTATAAAGCTCTTCCAAAGAAGGGAGAGGGCAACCAATGATCATCTGGGCAATGATGTTAACCTTCTGGAATGCTTTCCTATCTGCCACTGTGCAATTGGCAAACCATACACAGGTGCGGTAAGTTAAAATACTCTCTATGGTGCAGCGGTAGGTCACCAGCAGTTTTTCATTCAGTTGTTTCCTAAATCTCAAGGTAGTATAATCTCTCCTGGACCCTTTTGACCAGTGCTGCAATGTGAGCGCTCCAGGTCAGGTCCTCTTTTATGATAACATTCAGAAACTTAAAACTGGCCACTTGCTCCACTTGGTCTCCATTAATAAACATGGGCTGGATGTCTGATCTATTCCTTCTATAGTCCACTATAAGCTCCTTGGTCTTATTGGTGTTAAGGAGCAAGTTATTGCCTCCATACCACAAAAGCAACCGGTCCACCTCATCTCGATAGGCAGACTCATCCCTCCACCCACCCACCCCTGGAGATGAGTCCACCACTCTCATTTTTCTGAAGAAAAAAGATGCAAAGTTGTTAGGGGTGGGTCCTTGGTGCTTTCTGAGCTTGATTGTTTTCTTGTAGACGTTTCATTACCCAAACTAGGTAACATCATCATTGCTAGTCCTGATAGTACTGATGATGTTATCTATTTTGGGTAATGAAATAGGAAAACAACAGAGAGCATTGAGGATCCCTCATTTAAACCCTGAACTATGGATATACTCCTTTATTATCTAATTAGTTATTAATTATTATTAGTTAATCATGCAAAAGTGCTCAAGGCAAATAACTTTTCATTACACTTTTGCAAATGCTGAGTGCTTGAATATTGCTAAATGACAGGTAAGTCACTAAATTACAGGCTGCAAGGCAGAGTAAAGCGAATATTAAAACCTAATATTTGGGTCTCAGAATCTGGCACTTATGTAACATAGTGTAACAGCAGTAACACCTATGTTTTTTTATGCAAATAAACTGCGGTGGAATCCTAGGTGTTCTTTTGAACCCATCAGTCAAAAGATGCTTCACATTTTGCAATTTAAAGAATTGCCTTAAATAAAATGGATTTATCAGTCTTTAAAAATCCCTTCCACTAAATGACAAATACAATTCACTATTTTATGTTCAATTTTACCAGAAAGAGGCAATGGTGGGATTCAGCCAGTTCGCACCACTTTGGGAGAACTGGTTGTTAACTTTCTGAGCAGTTTGGCAAACTGGTTGTTGGAAGAAATCATTAGGTCAGAGAACCGGTTGTTAAATTATTTGAATCCCACCACTGGAGAGAGGGTTATAGTAGAAGAAACGTGATCTGACGTTCATTTGTTGTATAGCAGACATATGGCTGAGAACAATCTTTCAGCGAACATCAGTAACACAGCTCTATTTTACTTATTTGCTGGAATGAAAACAGTGTGGCTGCAAGGTCGATGGCGTGGGAGCATAGGGTAGGAACAGCTGATTATTTTTGTAAAATACCTTACGATCTCCAACCTACGTGAAACGGTTCTGACTGTAAAACGTGAAAGCAGCTATGCGAAAACGCTTCTGACTGTAAAAAGAAATGGTATAGAAAGCATTAATTTCGTCTATTCTCAAATCCGTACTTTCGAGGAAAAGACAAAAACCTCAGTTCCTCCTACTTAAGAGAATCAACTAGGAAGTTCAAGAATATTTACTTTTGGGTTACTTTTTGGGCGTCTGCTCTGCGGAGAAACGACTAATTTCTACGCCAGACTCCCATCTTTCCTCAAAACGATCCTACCCAGAATGCATAGCGCAATTCAGGGGAAGCTGACTGACCAATTAGAAGAAATGTGAAGCTCGCTTTGAAAGCCAGCCGACCAATCGGAAGTGAACGAATAGGCGGTGACAGGCGATTTGAACTTTACAACGGGACTGGCGGCAGACGCTGTTCTCAAGAGTTCGTTGGACCTTGGGAATAATCCGTTCTGGGTCTTTCCCTTTCCAACAGCCGCAGGACCCGGTGAAGTAGTTTAGTGACGGCCTAGAATTCGGTTGCCATTTCCAGATCTCGTCGGCAGCCGAAACAGTTGGCGGATTGGCCTTCTGCACACAGTACTCGGTTCTTGTTGAGATCCCGAGTCGGTACCGAAACTAACTGTCGTCTTACGGGGAAAGCGGGGTGGCTGTTCGGTGCAGGCACACTTGGAGAAGTGACTTAGGAGTAGCCCTGGTTAATATTAATGTTATAATTAATAAAAGAACACCTTTCAAGTGCTCAAAATCTGTCAGGTCTACTTATGAAATAAAGGGATTGTATTCCTTTTTTAAAGTAAGGGACGCGGTGGGTCAGTGGCTAAGACGCTTGTCGATCCGAAGGTCGGTAGTTCCTTAGCGCCGCCTGACGGGGTGAGCTCTTCGGCTTAGAAACGGAGCCCCTAAGACCCGGAAAACGGGGGAACCTTTGTACCTTCACGGTTCTGGATGGTCATAGAGAAAAACTGTCTCTGGGATCGTTAGTAGATCGAAAACGACTTTGATCACATACAATCAAATGCTATTTATTCTTGGTCGGGTTGCCCACAAGTTAATTTGAAAAAGGGTGTTCGTGCCTATTAAAATAGACTTTTCCATGCCTGGCTAACCCCCCCCCCCCCAAAGTCCTATAGTAATTCAATTAGGCCAACGATCCGGAGGGCAAAATGTTGGGGTAGGCTGTTTCTTTACATTCCTAATTCTCCACTGTTAACAAAAATTTGACTACTGTATACTCATTTTTCATTTTGCTTTTTTTCTGGGCCTCTTGTTTTTTTAAAAAAAAATGTTAACAAGCAAGTTAGGAAATTATCTTGGGGCAGCATCACACTTTTTTTTTTGGTATTTGTATCACTTTCTTGATGCTGAAATACACTCAGATGAAAAAGAAATGTGGCATCTCTACATTCTTTTTCTTACATAGCTTGTTTAAAAAATGTTGGAATTATAATTTTGCATTACATGATGCTATTTTCCTAAGCTTTTGTTTCTGATCTAATTCCAGTATGTCCCTTAAGTTAAAATTGGGTAAGGTGATGGGAATTAGGATCACTAGGAAATAGCTTGATGTACATGAAGTGAATCTTAAGGTGAATGTGAAGAAGCTCCTTACTACAAAGCCATCAGAAGTGATTGCTCTTTTCAGAGAAGACAGGTCTTATTAAAACCCACATTTATAGTCTTGCAACAAATGAATGCATTGATTAGCCAGTACAATCAATCAATGAATGTCTTTTGCCCTTAATCCCTTGTGGCTGAGCTGAGTTGTAAATTTGTTGCCTTAGCAGCATTAAAGCAAGCAAATTTATTGTCCTTTCTCTTGGGCATTGAACTTCAAGAAGGTTGTTGAGACTTTGGAAAGAATGCTGAGAAAAACTATGTGGCTGGATATTATTTACTCTTTCTGTATTTTAAAATGGAATTGCACTCAGTCATGAATAAATAGACAGTAGGCATCTATCTATCTATCTATCTATCTATCTATCTATCTATCTATCTATCTTGTATAGATTTGTGCTGAACTGTATTAGGGTTTCAATATTCTGATACCCTGTGTCCAGTTGGAGAGACCTTTCAAGAACTCTTCACAGTTTCTTAGGTTTAAGAAAGATATGAATCTGATACTGTACATATCAACATGTTCCCATCTTGTCCCTGACACAGCATTCTCTAATAATGGTGCTCATACCACCTGCTGAAGAAGGCAATGTAACAGTAGTGGTCTGAGTGCAGTCACAGACTCTACGAGAGCAAGTAGGAAACCGGCAAAGAACAGTGAAAGTGCTCAGGGACAGCATGCTAGTGTTTGACCCTGAAGAAACAAGCCTGCTGGGCTTCCAAATTCATGAGTCTGTCTCCCAGAAGAAAGACAAGAATATGAAGTTTATTTTTGATCAGGTGTTTGGAGAAATGGCTACCCAAGTGGAAGTCTTTGAGAACACAACTAAAAGAGATCCTGAATGGTGTGCTGAGTGGCCACAATTACTCTGGTAAGGAATGTATTTTCCTGGCTTCACAGTATGACAGCAGCACAGCAAAAAAAACAGCATGTTGCCTAACATAAAAAATATATAAAAAAAGAAATAACTTTCTGCTAACACTCATTGAACTAAATTTTAAGCTTTCATTGATCATATCAGATTGTGTCAGTCTGAGAGTTTGGCCTTGCTGCCTGTAAATGATGGGGATTTTAATCTAACAGGCAAGATATAAATTAGTAAAAATGCAATGTCAGTTGGTTTCAGTTTAATATTGAAAATATAGCCAATTCTATTTCCAGCCTGTTCTCAATACTGAGCAAAGGTAATTTTTGTAATACTTGTAATTAACTCCTTGCACTTTAGAAGAGAGTATTTGTACCTCAGGGTTGAACTTGGAGTCTTTGGTGTTCTCTGAGCTTGATGGCTTTCTTGCAGATAACTAGATAACATCAATGCTAGAAGGTAATAGGGTTTGTTCTTATTTTAGTGTCAGTGTTAATGGGAGTGTTCTTGGTGATTCCTTGACTAGACTGTTGTTATTGTTAGCTTGTTTGTCTGTGTTAATAATTGCTTGATTGAGTTATTGTTTACTTGATTGTCTGGTATTAATTTGGATGTTAATCTCTGCTCATATGGGTATTGATTGCTGGTGAGGAGGTGTTTTGGTCTTTTTGTTTCCTTTTGGTCTTTTTGATTGTCTCTTTTGAGTGGTATATAGATGTTGTTTATCTCTATGTGCTTGTTGATAACTGATTTGTCCAAGTGCCAGGTCTCCAGGAATTATTTGGCATTTTTGAATTTGGCTTGATCTAGGATACTCACAGTTTCTCAGTTGAAACTATTGTTGAGTCTATCCATGTGTTGTGATATTAAGGAGTTTTCATCATGTCTTCTGACTGCTACTGTAGTTGGTGTTCATGGATGTACTCTGCTAGTCTTCTGCCTATTAGTTCTATATAACTAATGGCTGTTACAGTCCTTACACCGTAGATTATAAATGACTCCTGTTTTTTCTTCTGGGGCTGCTGGGTTTTTGATTTACTTAGGATGTTTTGGAGGATTCCTTGTACTTCATTGGAAGAGGTGCTAGCCAAAAGGTCATAGGCATAATGATACATTATTTCTTCCATCTCCAGGTAGATGCTGAGAATGTGTACATTTGCTACACGATGCAGCAAATGTTTCTTTAGGAATAAGAAGATACAACTGTTGAAAAAAATTAATTTAAAAACATAGTTAGAATCCACTGCCCATTTGTGCAAGAATAATTAATTTTAGGTGCCATACCTCATGGATCTTTCTTGTTTTGGTTCTTAAAGTTGAATATTTCTGCTCTTGAAAGTTTGTTCAGCAATAAAACCTCAGTGATTACTAGGGGTTGAAAACTACTTGATGGCACATAATCAGAATCTGAAATCAAGATTCTTGGTGTTTGAGTTTGTAAAGGAAACCTGACTAAGTTGGGTGAAAAATAAAGTTTGCTGAAAATAGATTGAAGGGAAGAAAGAGGGATGCATGTGTACTCTTTCAGGTATTTTGGCCTCAGGGTTTGGGTAGTTTTAGCCTCTTTTGATTCTAAAACATCTTAGGATAATATGGGTTATATTTGGGAAATTTCTCTGAATGATTGTCTTCCTTCTTTTCCAGTATTTGCATATGGTGCAACAAGAGCTGGTAAAACATATACCATGCTGGCTGGGATCAGAGAAGGAACCTGGTATCATGTACCTCACCATGAAGTAGCTGTATAAGAAAATAGAGGTTAAAAAGGAAGAGAAATTCTGTGAGGTGTTAATCTCCTATCAAGAGGTATTGTTCATCTCTAGCAACTTTTTCCAGAGAAATTTTGTTACATTTTCTGTCTTAGTAAAATGGAAGTGTTCATGCCTTCTATGAACTGGTATTCTAGTTTAACAAGTCCAGATACGCACTAGTGGCATATATGTGCACATAATTACTGATTCAATATGGGTTTTATTCAAAAGCGTTGCTTTTCCTGGGGTTAAATGGGTAGATGAATATTGCATACAGTGTTATATCTGAGATGCTTGTAGAAATAGTGGCAGTGTTGGAAATATCAAGAATGCACAATTATTTTATTTATTTTATTTTTATTTGGACTAGAGGGTAGGGTGTTAGAATAGCATACAGGCATGCATATATATATATATATATATATATATATATATATATATATATATACACATACATACATACATACATATACATACATACATACATATACATACATATGTGTGTGTATATATATATATATGTATATATATGTATATATATGCGAAACTCAAAAAATTAGAATATCATGCAAACGTTCATTTATTTCAGTAATGCAACTTAAAAGGTGAAACTAATATATGAGATAGACTCATTACATGCAAAGCGAGATAGTTCAAGCCTTGATTTATCATAATTTTGATGATTATGGCTTACAGCTCATGAAAACCCCAAATTCACAATCTCAGAAAATTAGAATATTGTGAAAAGGTTCAATATTCTAGGCTCAAAGTGACCCACTCTAATCAGCTAAGTAAGCCATAACACCTGCAAAGGGTTCCTGAGCCTTTAAATGGTCTCAGTCTGGTTCAGTAGGAATCACAATCATGGGAAAGACTGCTGACCTGACAGTTGTGCAGAAAACCATCATTGACACCCTCCAAAGGAGGGAAAGCCTCAAAAGGTAATTGCAAAAGAAGTTGGATGTTCCCAAAGTGCTGTATCAAAGCACATTAATAGAAAGTTATGTGGAAGGGAAAAATGTGGAAGAAAAAGGTGCACAAGCAGCATGGATGACCGCAGTCTGGAGAGGATTGTCAGGAAAAGGCCATTCAAAAGTGTTGGGGACTTTCACAAAAAGTGGACTGAGGCTGGAGTCAGTGCATCAAGAGCCACTACACACAGACAGATCCTGGACATGGGCTTCAAATGTCGTATTCCTCTTGTCAAGCCACTCCTGAACAACAAACAACATCAGAAGCGTCTTACCTGGGCTAAAGACAAAAAGAACTAGTCTGTTGTTCAGTGGACCAAAGTCCTCTTTTCTGATGAGAGCAACTTTTGCATCTCATTTGGAAACCAAGGACCCAGAGTCTGGATGAAGAATGGAGAGGCACACACTGCAAGATACTTGAAGTCCAGTGTGAAGTTTCCACAGTCTGTGTTGATTTGGAGAGCCATGTCATCTGCTGGTGTTGGTCCACTGTGTTTCATTAAGTCCAGGGTCAATGCAGCCGTCTACCAGAAGATTTTGGAACACTTCGTGCTTCCTTCCGCAGACGAGCTTTATAGGGATGCTGATTTTATTTTCCAGCAGGACTTTGCATCTGCCCAGACTGCCAAAAGTACCAAAACCTGGTTCAATGACCATGGGATTACTCTGCTTGATTGGTCAGCAAACTCGCCTGACCTGAACCCCATAGAGAATCTATGGGGCATTGCCAAGAGAAAGATGAGAGACATGAGACCGAACAATGCAGAAAAGCTGAATGCTGCTAGTGAAGCGTCCTGGTCTTCCTTAACACCTCAGCAGTGCCACAGGCTGATAGCATCCATGCAACGCCGCATTGAGGCAGTAATTGATGCAAAAGGGGCCCAAACCAAGAACTGAGTACATATGCATGCTTATACTTTTCAAAGGTCCAATATTGTTCTATGTACAATCCTTGTTTTATTGATTTCATGTAATATTGTAATTTTCTGAGATTGTGAATTTGGGGTTGATAAAACCTTTTATTTAACTTTGTATATACCTACGAACCATACTTAAGAAGATAAACACATACTTTCTATGGTATAAATCTATCACAGGATAATATTAAAAGACCTTATGTTTATATAAAATGATTTACTCCACCTTGCCCAATAAAAGTGAGAGCTGAGGGACCATCTGGAATAATATGGCATGTGTGTGTGTGTGTGTGTGTGTGTGTGTGTGTGTAGTTAAATGTAGCTGCCTGATTATCTGGTGATCCCTTTCTAACCATCTAATCAAATTAGTGATTAGATTAATTAAGCAACTCTACTAGTTTCAGTTTTTGTGCTCTTCTATACTAAATGTAATTAACTTTGACAAGTATATAGATTTTTGTAGAGATTGCTCAAGGAAGAGGGAGGTGACGGTTTAAAAACGGGGCCTTTTTGTTTGTTTGTGCTCTTAATTCAGAGTCTGACATGTATTTGCATCTCTCTGCACAGTTATAGCTACAATCCTAAGCAAACTGGTCAGTAAATCCAATTGAAAGATTGCATTTTATATACATGCTAAAATCGGAAGCAACCATTTTCTATCAAAGCCTATTAGGGTTCATCGCCTATTTAAAGGAAAAGATTGAAAAACTAAAAATAAATTTGGCTGCCAAGCTAATAGACAAAGTATAGCATAGAATTCCATTATATAGGATGCCCATTGGAAATACTCAGTTCTGGGTTTGCAGTGTCAATATATAAACAGAAATTTGTTAGAATATAGTCATTTGGGGATAATGTACTTTTTCCTCAATAAGTAATCAGCTTTAGATTTTTAGGTGCCTGCCTACATTTTCCTCGTTGCTCATATCAACTATCTAGATTCCCCAAACACTAATCACTTATTTTGTTTTTCATGGGTTTAAGAAGCACAATTGGTTGAAAGAGTAATTTCCAAGTTTCTAGTTCTTTGGATTTGGAAAAGATTGTGCCCTTGGCTTCTGCTGAAAATCTGAACTTTGAGACATCCAAAACAGTCAGTTTTTGTCTTAAAGTAGAATGATGCATAACTTTTGCTTCTAGGTATATAATGAGCAGATTTATGATATTTCGGAATCAGAGTCCACTGGCTATTCGGGAAAATCCAGAGAAAGGTGTCTTGGTGCAAGGTCTTTCAGTTCATAAGATGAGTGTGATATTTGCATTGTATGAACTTCAAGGATGACATGCATTTCATGAGTGAATAGTCATCCTCAATTATTCATATAATGTTGATATAGTTTCAGCCCTATATATAAATTGCTATACAGACCACATTGATTTGATGCTTGCTCAGAGAGCTTTATTCCACATTGTAGTTAAGGAATGGTCATGAAAAAAAGGCCAGACAGAATCAGATGGAAATAAAGAAGTAGCTAACCAAAACTGAAGGGAAGAGGGAAACAAGCAAAAGTTTGAAAAGGGGGTTTGTGAATAGGAATGGGCAGAGAAAAGAGAAGGAGCTAGGGTGAACTTAATATTAATTTTCACATGGCTGACCAGAGAGAGTCAGCCAGAAAGTGTTGCAGTAGTTTTTTATTGTGCCTCTTAATGTGGAATTTGGTGCTGGGTAATAAAGTCAATAGTCCAGTTGCTGCAGATTTGATTTTTCTTCAGCTCTTATTGGCTAAGCTGTTAGATCTCCCTGCAAATAAGATTTTGATGCTCCTTAGACTTTATCCTTCCAAATGACAAGTTACAGCAGCAAAATGTAATCAGAACTACTTTGAATACAGCAAAATGTAATCAGAACTATTTTGAATACTTGTAATATATTGGTCATGTAAGGAAGTCCAAAATGATTTGTATATATCTTCCTATGGAGGCAACTATTTAGGAAGCCTCTTTGTAGAGAGTGTAGCTGCAAAGAGTGTCTTACCAAATCTTTCTTCCCCTTCATCCCTTTAGCCAAAATCTGCTATGCAGTTTCTAGAGATGCTGAAGCAAGGAAATCTGAACTGTACCCACCACCCCGCAGACATTAATGCCACTTCTTCACAATCTCATGCAATCTTCCAGGTAAGTATAGTAGGATTCATCAGAAATGCTTAATAGCTTCTTACGAGACATTGTAATTAGGGAAAATTCCTCATTAATATCATTAATCCATCAATCACATTTTCTCCTTCAAGAACATCATTACCATAAGATCTTCTCCCAGCATGTGAATTCTTGGAGGCATCAGACTGGCTATTATTGGAAGTAGAGTGCTGGATAAGATGGATTCTTAATCATGTAGTTCTACTGCCTTCTTTTTCTATTGAAAGGGAGGAGGAGATTTTTTTTATGTATACCCTTTACTTATTTTATGGCACTCAGTATTTGATTAGGCAAAGGTAGGATAGTGAATATCTACTTTCCTTTCAGCTAATGACAAAGGTAATTACATTGATTGGTTGTACTTGAAAATGATGGAGCACCTCTGAATTTTTTATAGTGTCTTGCCTTTCTGCTGAAGCAGAGGCACATAGTTTTTAGAAATTGAGATTTGGATGATCCACTTCCTCTTTCCAAAAGGGTTAGCTTTAAAGTACAGAAATATGAGAAATACTTGTCATCTACCTAGTGTTTTTCTGTGAGTCTGATATATTGGAATGGCCCCTGAATGGAAATAGCAAACCTAGAAGAAACCATAAAATCCATAGTCAGGCAGTACTTTTATTACTAGCAATGAGCACGTCCATTACATAGAGAATAGTTTTTCAAGTTCTGCAGAACTGAATAGTACAAAATATATAAGAGTGATGCAAAGAGGAAAGACAAATCAGAACAAAAATTCTGCCTAGGCAGCCAGATCAGCCTAATCAACCCTGGCAATCAACAGATATCACGGCCTGATCGCCCCTCACATTTATAGAAGGAAAAAGGAAAGACAAATCAGAGCAAAAATGAGAAAGATGTTATAGCAATGCATTTGAATAGTGATTCAGTTCAATTTGAATAGACAGATTTCTCTTGAGATTTGTCTGCTCTTTAGACAACCCAGCACTCTGGTATCTATACCGAACTCTGCCATTTTTTGCAGATCTGCGTGAAGCAGCAAAACCTTGTGGTGGGCATGCATCAGGATCAACTAGTGGCAAAAACGAGCCTGGTTGATTTGGTTGGCTCTGAATGTGCCTCTGCTGCCAACACCAAAGGAGAACAACTCCATGTGGGTGCCAACATCAATCGATCCCTACTGGCTCTTATCAATGTTACTAATGTCCTGGCAGATGCCAAGGTAAATTATCTCTTACTCCTCATCTACTGCTATTTTGTCTCGACAGCATTTATAGTATAGGGACTCCTTTGCTTTGTATTTTTAATTCTAAATTTACACATAATTATTCCCTCTCAAATCAAATCAAACCTTTATTATGGCCTCATAAAACTAGCTATAAGATGGAAAGGAATGGGATAGTGGAACAATGGATATCTGATCACAACATTACAGCCATCACTTTAACCATGCCCTGCAATCACGTTTGACAGCAAGATACATTGAAAAAGCAGCTCGGCTTGCTGTATTTCCTCCATATAGATATCCTTCCAATGTTTCCATTATTAGATTCACATTCCCCTGAATATATAAATAAATGTGCAACCGCTATATTGAGGAATGTATATGATCTACTTTTATGAAATAATGTTACTAAACTAACATCTGTAATCCTTGATAGTTTCGTGTCTTATAAATTGATAAAGATAGGGCAAAAATCTTAAGCTTCAACTCTGGGCAGGATTTTTCTCCTCCAGAATGACAGATGATACTGTAATACTATAACAGCATGGAAGAGCCAGTTTAGCGTAGTGGTTAAAATGCTGTCCTAGAAACAAGGAGATTCTGAGTTCTAATCCTGACTTAGGCATGAAAGCTGGGTGGGTGACTCTGGGCCTATCACTCTTTCTCAGCCCAACTCACCTCACAGGATTGTTGCGAGGAAAATACAAAAAAGGAGTATTATGTTTGTTCACCACCAATAATAAAGGCAGGATTAAAAACTAATAAATAAATAATCTTCTAAAATAAACAGCACAGCGTATATTTCAGATATATAATTCATATACTCATTTGCTTTAGACACAATAGGAATACATGGAGGAATAGTGTTTGTAATGGCAGAAGAATTATATGGAACAGTTGTTTCTTATAGAATCTCTGAATCCTCCATTAATTTTGTTGATACACAGAGTAAAAAAATCCACATTCCATACTGGGACAGCAAGCTAACGCGCCTCCTAAGGGATTCTATTGGTGGAAAACCGTTGGACCCTCATGACTGCAGCTATTAGCTCCTCCATACTTTCCTATGAGGACACATACAACACCCTCAAATATGCAAACTGGGCTAAAAAAATCAAACTTTTAGTAGGTACCAAAAGTTGCATTTATAGCGTAATTGCTTGAAAATTATTTTTTTTACTTTTGCTTCTGGATGAATCTTACCCATGTTATTGTGTCCTTCAGTATATCTGCTATGAGTTCTTGAAAAGCTCAGAGTAATGTAAATCTTCAATTTATAGACCTACAATTCTAGGTTAAAAAAAACTCTAAGAAATATGTCTAAAGCATTTCTTCTCTGTAGCCCAGTACAGGTAGTCCTCAAATTATGACAGTTCATTTAGTGACCATTCAAAGTTACAATGGCGTTGAAAAAAGTGACTTATGACTATTTTTCACAGTTACAACCTTGGTAGCATCCCCATGATCATGTGATTCTTGGCAACTGGTTCATACTTATGACCATTGCTGTATCCCAAGGTCATGTGTTCACCTTTTGCAACCTTTTTACAAGCAAAGTCAATGAGGAAGCTAGATTCATTTAACAACTGGTTTACTAAATTATCAACTGCAGTGATTCATTGAACAACTGTGTTAAGAAATATTGTAAAATGGGGCAAAACTCATTTAAATGTCTCACTTAACAATAAAAATTTTGGGGTCAATTGTGATTGTAAGTCAAGGTCTACCTGTAATTCTGTTTGAGAAATCAGAAATTCCACTGGGGATTTTATATATATGTTAAAGCTTTATTCTAAAGCAGGAGGCCTAGAAACCTCTAGAAGGACTTAGAATTTATAATCTATAGGTTCCATAAAATACTTGAATTTATATTTTATCAGAAATTTATCATAATATATTGAACTAAGTATATAGATGCAATTTCATTAGATATAACCTGATGGCAAAAACTTCCACTAAATTGTTGGAGTAAAATTAAAGTAATTAAAGTAAATATTACATTAGGATTAATGTATATTATAAGAGGAATTCCAGTTTTACTTCATATCAGGTATTTTACACAGATAGACAAAAGAATGAAAAAAAAATATGGTAGACCAAAATCATTCAAATATACTGGACAAATTGAATTTGCTGTCTAACTTTAACCTATAAAACTTCCAATTTTATCATTGGGCTGTTGACATCTATATTCTGGGTGAGAATTTTTTGGGGATTCATTTTTGGGCCTATTGAGAGATCAAGTTTGTAATTTCTCTGAAATCTTCACAAATTTTAGGGTAAATTAAACAGAGATTTCATTTCCAGTCCTGAATGCTGCTGAACATATTTAATTCTTAACAAGTAAGCAAGTTTTGATCCAGAATCACATGGAAAAAAAATAAAGTTTGGAAGAGCTGAAATCTGAAAATAGCGTGGAAGATGTTATTTTGGAATCTCTGGGACAAAAAAGAAACACATTATTTAAATCAGTTGGTTCGTAATGGTTATTTTAAAGATTTTTTTTTCTGATAATTTACCTGTGACATCAAGGAATGGATTCTGGATATCAGTTCTGTTATACATTTTTGAAAAACCTTTGTGTTCAAAACCTGAAAGTAAATAATATGTTTTAGTTATGGTCTAGATTTAATGTTAATCTTGAATATTGAATTAATTATATTGATACTACATGGATCTTCTCCCCTTTTGTTCTTTTAACCTTTTCTTTTCTCACCATATAAACTACTAACGTGTTTTCCCGAAAATATGACCTACCCCAAAAGTAAGTCCTAGCTTAATTTTTACACATGCACCCAATACAAGCCTTACCCTCAAATTAAGCCTTAATTAAAACTCTGCCCACCCCAGGGTTCAGGGGGTGGGGTGAGGTACATGGGTAAAAATTAAACTAGGGTGGGGATGGGGAGGGGAGTGGAGTTGCCCTACTTACCAGGCCTCGTACACCCTGATATCTGCCTTGCCCTGCAGGCCCACTTCTGCGGCTGCTTGCCGCCGTTTGCATGTGTTGCCCTCGGCCTCCATTTTGCCATCAGAGGCCTTCCGGAAAGCCCTCTACAGCCAAGAAATGACATCCAGATTGATGCGTGCATCGTCTCTGGCCTCCATTTCACCACCAGAGCCTTCCAGAAAGCCTTCTGAAGCCTTGTTATTGGCTGCAGGGGGCTTTCTGGAAGGCTCTGATAGCAAAACAGAAGCCAGGGGATGCCACACGTGTCAATCTGGAGCCCGTTTCTCAGCTGTAGAGGGCTTTCCGGAAGGCTGTGATGGCGAAATGGAGGTTGGGGGTGATGTGTTCAAGCGACGGCAAGCAGCCGCAGAAGAAGTGGGCCATCAGCAGGCTCCTGCTGGGTGGGGTTATCGGTGCCACGGCCATGAGGTGAGTCAGTAATTAGACACCCCCTCCCCGCAAAAAGAAGCCCTAGCCATTTTTTCAGGGGTCAAAGAAAATAAGACCGGATCTTATTTTTGTGGAAATACAGTATATATTATTTTCTGATGGTGTTATAGTAATTTGTATTCCATTCAGGCTAGAAATCTGCATTTCATATATATATGAAACTAATGACATTTGGAGCCTAGATTTTTTCCTATAGTTTTCTGTAATTGTACAGTACGGATGCTTCTAAGTGACTTATTTTCTTCTCCCAAGGAAAATTACTGGGTGAGGTCAAGGGGTCATGTGTCCCAACAATCTTTTCAGTATTGTACATCATGTTTATAGAATATATATATTGTGAGTAATTGATAGAAATTTATGCTGTTTCAGACTTTAGAATCCCAAATTTTATATTTGAAATAATAATGATGTAAATATTTCACATTCCTTTTGTACCAAAAATTCCAACAATCTTTGGAGACAAATTATATTCCACTGGCATTTGGCAGTCTTCCATTTTCTTGGATATATTTTTGACAAATTCTATGCAAATTTAATTAATTCAATTTCTCATGTAGGGGATTACATTTAATAGGTTCTATTTCTTTTTCCAATATGTTGAAATTCATTAGGTCAACTCTGGCAACATGGGCAAGGATGACTTAAGCCTGGCATATTTTGGCTTGCTGATATATTTATGAATCTCTACTATTCTACAACATGTTCTACTTTATTGAAAACGTAGGGTGGGAGTTCCAGTTTGTGATACAGTATTAATCCCTGTGTCTAAGCCTTCTTGCAGTTCTCATGATAAACATTTTTTGCTTTCTATTTTTTGCCCTGGTAAAACCTAACATGGTAAGGCTGAACCACACTAGCAGCAAATATGCAGCTATTTGTGAGCAACTAAAGGCAGAGGTAAGAGGCTCTGATATTATGTCTCAAACCCAAAAGATTTTTATTGGGGTGAGAAGTCAATGAAAGGCAAGCGTTCCATATAATAGAATAAGATTCAGTATTTTGTTTGATTCCTCTGGCCTAATGCACATTTAAGACAACCTTAGCTGTTGATGCATCCATCAGAAATTCTGGGGATATTGACTGTTTAGAAAAATGTCAGTTGGTAATCCATACCTACCATCTCCAGACAGGGCTGAGAAAGATTCTTATCGGCAAATCCTTTGGAGAATAGCAGCCTAGGGCATTCTATAATAAGTAACCACTGTACTTTTGAAGAAGCCTTTTCAGGGTAGAGGATGCTGCTCATTGTGAGACATGTTGGCAATACAAGATAAAGATGCAATATTTCTGTTAATGTAGTGTTCTAAGTATGCTGTAGTAAATATCAGCACAAGGCTGTCTGATTTGGTAGAGTATCTGATTATTCTTGTTGCTGGTATCCATGTTAATGCCTGAATTGCCAGCTACTTGCAACTCCCAACTGGGATTAGTTTAAGGGAGAGAAGGCATCGAGAACACACTTTATTCACCAACCTTTATCACCACAGGGTTTCAGTCAGGGCAACATGTTTGTAATGTGGATACTTTAATTTATCTTAGGTAATTCTAACTTTAAAATTAAAGTTAAACTCTAGCCAAATAAGCATACCATTTTGTTCCTTTCAGGTGGCATACTTAAAAGGGAGTCTCTGAATTTATGAAGAAAAAATGCCAGAGCTTAAGTCCTTCCCTGGCTCCTTATACTTCTGAGCAGATGGAGCTCTTCAGGTGGTCCATTACCTCTAAGGCAGAGTTCCCCAACATTTCCAGTTTTGCAGACTGGCAGGGGGAAGAGGATGGTTTTACGCGAGCAGTGAGCAAGCGCACCTGTGCACACTCTTGCTCTCTACTTGCACAATTAGGGATGTGCACACACATGCTCACTTGCCACTTCCATAGCCCGGTTCCGAAAGGCTCAGGGTCCCCCAGTAGTAGGTTGTGGTCCGGGAGTTGGGGACTCCTGCTCTAAGAGGAGAAAAGGTAGTAGATGGGCAATGTGTCAGTAAATATGATCACTTCTGTGTGAGTCAATACCTTTTATTTTTATCTTCTGAGTTCCAAACTGGAATGCCAAACTCTTATCTCTTCCCAGAATAAATATCTGTGTTATCTCACACTTTGTTAATAAATTTGAGTCTGTATTTCATTAGAAAACAATCAAATGAACAATTTTGTGCCATAAAGAGGGGAATGGGCAAATTGGACTGGCATGTTTTTGATTCTGTTGAGGTTGATATTAAATATTTTTTCATCCTTGTTTTGGAAATAGATCAGAAGATACTTGCAAAAGTGTTGCAAAAGGATGATTGCACAGAAATGGGACCTTCCCAAATTTTGAAACAAAATTGCTCAAGAAAAAGTCTCATGAAGGAGGTAAGAGCACAAGAACTATGAGAGGAGGCTAAGTCAGAGTCCAGCACATGGATAAGTCCAGCACATAGATAATTTATCTCACAGTTTTTGTGAGAGTTACTTAGCATTACATTTTTATTTCATCCAAGCTGATTTCTCTGTGCCTAGTGTGTAAATGAATCCTATGAACATTTCTAAACTAACACCCACCAGTAATTGCTCCTTACTTCCTCACCCTGAAGAGGTGAGAACTCAAGTTAATTCACATGGAAGGAAAATCTGAAATGCTGAGTTTGATTAGGTTTCTGCATTTCTCAAGCAAGAAGAAACAGTGAGGGTCAATGAGAGGGCATTAATTGAGTATACAATATAGCATTTATCATAGTGAACTTTTTTTTCCAGGTTAAGTTGGTTTATCAATTGTTTCAGTTGAGTGCAGTTGCTGAAGTCCTTGTTTCACAAACCTGCCTCTGCACCAGAGGTGATATTCAGCAGGTTCTAACCAATTCTAGAGAACTGGTAGTGGAAATTTTGAGTAGTTCAGAGAACCGGTAAATACCACCTCGGACTGGCCCCACCCCCAACTATTCTCTGCCTCCCAAGTCCCAGCTGATTTTATTTTATTTTATTTATTTATTATTCGATTTATAAACCGCCCTACTCCCGAGGGACTCAGGGCGGTGAACAGCCAAGAGATAAAACACACAGAATTACAAAATTTAAAAACAGTATAAAAACCTAATTAAATAAATTTGGCCCTGAACAGATTAAAACAACCCTAAAATTTTTGACAAATTTAAAATTTACAATTAAAAAGGGAGGTTAGGCCAGGCCAGCCTGTTGGAATAAAAAGGTCTTGAGGGCGCGGCGGAAAGTGCGTAAATCCGGGATCCTCTGTATCTCCGGGGGCAATTCATTCCAGAGGGCAGGAGTCCCCACAGAGAAGGCTCTTCCCCTGGGGGTCACCAGCCGACATTGCTTGGCCGACGGCACCCGGAGGAACTCCTCTCTGTGGGAGCGAATTGGCCGGTGGGAGGCTATTGGTAGCAGCAGGCGGTCTTGTAAGTACCTAGGTCCTAAGCCATGGAGCACTCTGAAGGTGGTAACCAATACCTTGAATCGCACCCAGAGGACCACTGGGAGCCAGTGCAGCTTGCGCAGGAGAGGTGTTACATGGGAGCGCCATGACACTCCCATAACCACCCGCGCGGCTGCATTCTGGACCAGTTGGAGCCTCCGGGTGCTCCTCAAGGGAAGCCTCATGTAGAGAGCATTACAATAGTCCAGGCGGGAAGTGACGAGGGCATGAGTGACCGTGCATAGGGAGTCCCGATCCAGAAAGGGACGCAACTGGCGGATCAGGCGAACCTGATAAAAAGCCCCCCTGGCCACGGTCATCACATGTTCTTCCAAGGACAGCCGTGCATCCAGGAGGACACCTAAGTTGCGAGCCCTCTCCGTGGGGGCCAGCAACTCGCCCCCAATAGTCAGATATGGCACCAGCTGACTATATCAGGACGCCGGAAACCACAGCCACTCGGTCTTGGATGGGTTGAGCCTGAGTCTGTTTCTCCCCATCCAGATCCACACGGCCTCCAGACACCAGGACATCACGTCAAGGGCATCATTGGGGTGGTCCGGGGTGGAGATGTACAGCTGGGTGTCATCAACGTACTGGTGGAACTGCAAGCCGAAACCATGAATGATCTCACCCAGCGGCTTCACATAAATGTTGAACAGAAGGGGCAAGAGGACCGACCCTTGCGGCACCCCCACATGAGGCGCCTCGAGGTCGACCTCTGGGCCCCTGTCAACACAAACTGCGACCTGTCAGAGAGAAAGGAGGAGAACCACCGCAACACGGTGCCTCCCACTCCTAACCCCTCTAACCGGCGCAGCATGATACCATGGTTGATGGTATCAAAAGCCATGTAATAGGACCAAGGCAGAGGAAAAACCCCTGTCCCGAGCCCTCCAGAGATCATCAACCAATGCGACCAATGCCGTTTCCGTATTGTATCCAGATCTGAAACCTGACTGGAGCGGATCAAGATAGACCACTTCATCCAGGTACTGGGGGAACTGTCGCGCTGCCACATTCTCCACACCACCTTCACCACAAAGCTGAGGTTGGAGACTGGACGATAATTCACTAGAACTGTCGGGTCCAGGGAGGGCTTCTTGAGGAGGGGCCTCACCACCGCCTCTTTCAAGGCTGCGGGGAAGCAGCCCTCACTCAAGGAAGCGTTGATAATCCTCTGGAGCCAGCCTCGTGTAACCTCCTGGGAAGCCAGCACCAACCAGGAGGGACACAGGTCCAATAAACATGTGGCCGCGCTAAGTCTAACCAGAATCCTGTCCACGTCTTCGGGAGTCACCGGGTCAAACTCTTCCCAGATAGCACCCTCAAGACCTTCCTCCATCACCCTGTCTGGACCTATCCCGTCAGACTCCAAGCCTTCCCGAATTTGAGCGATTTTGTCATGCAGATACTATACAAAATCCTCAGCTCTACCCTCCAAGGGGTCTTCCCGCGCTCCCAGATGGAGCAGGGAGTGGGTCACCCTAAACAGGGCAGCTGGGCAGTTATCTTTAGATGCAATAAGAGCGGAAAAGTAATCAGACTTTGCCGCTCTTATCGCCACAAGGTAGGTCTTAATATGTGACCTCACCAGTGTTTGGTCAGATTCGGACCGGCTGGCCCTCCAACCACTCTCTAGGCATCTTTTCCGGCGCTTCATTTCCCTCAGCTCCTTGGAAAACCAGGGAACCACCTGGGATCGGAACCGGGTCAGAGGCCGCAAAGGCACGACGTGGTCCAAAGCTCCAGCAGCCACCCTATCCCAGGCGGCCACCAGGTCTTAAGCCGTGTCATGAGCCAGAACCTCAGGGAATGGCCCAAGCTCCGTCTGGAACCTATCAGGCTCCATCAGGCGCCTGGGGCGGAACCACCTGATCGGCTCCGCCTCCCTGCAGCAAGGTGTAGCGGTTTGAAAGTCAAGTCGAAGGAGAGAATGATCTGACCATGACAAGGGCTCGATCACAATATCCCCTATATCAAAATCATTCAGCCACTGGCCAGAGAGAAAAACCAGGTCGAGAGTGTGTCCCCCAGTGTGATTGGGGCCATGAACTAACTGGGTCAGGTCCATGGCCATCATGGAAGCCATGAACTCCCGAGCTGCACTTTCAATGTGTTATATATATGTACAAAAGATGTCGGTTGATCAGGCTTATGGTCATGGAGGACTTCAACCTGCCATCTATTGGTGAAACGTCTGAGGCAGCTCCTTTCGACCATCTGACTTCCTCCGGCTCTAAACGGAGTTTTTCCAACCATTCTGCATTCTCTTTCTCTGCTTGGAGGGCGGCTGCAGTTGAACTCGCTGCCCCCATTTGCTCTCCTCCGTCACTCTCTTGATCTGACATAATTTGGATTTACAGTCCCCTCGGTTTTTGTCCAGGATGACTGGATGTGACTTCCAGCTTAATGTCAGGTATGCTTCCTTCAATATCCAGGAAAGAAAAACCCAAACTCAATCATTTTGAAGAGATTAGTACTTTTACTGAATATGAAATGATCGCAACCCAGGTAAAGCTGGAAGTGAACTAAATGCGCGAAATAGCATCTACTAAGCTTCTCCCCCCACCGCACCCCCGTGTCCATTGGCCATCATCCAATCCAAAGGTCTCCCAAAAGTCAGGTGGCATCACGTCTGGCAACGTCATTCATCAGGAATGTAGGGCAGTTGGTCAGCCGGCCCCTTTGGAGATTCACTTTCGTTTCTTGGGAAGACACGGCCTACAATGGAAAAACCACCTCCTGCACCTTCCCCCCCTTCGCCCCCTTAACTAGTCCCTCCCCCCGTTCCTTATGGCAGCTGAAGCAGGCAAAGCTGAGGCTGACACAAAGAAACATTGCAGATGATTTTTAAATTTCCCATACCCTGCCTTTTTCCAGGGATTGAAAGAAAACAGAGACCAGCCCACTCCATTCCATTGTATACACTTATTTAAACTTTAACACTAACTAGCTCTCCAGTTTCAAATCTCATAGAATTATTTTATTGCAGGCTTATAATAGCTACTCTGCTGGTAGCCAAGAAACAGTACAATTGGTTGAAAGTCACCAACCTACTTACTCCTGAAATTATAGCACAGTTTGAAGAGCTGACTTCCATACTTCATCAAGAGTTCCATGGAGCACTAAACATTTCCGTTTTGGATGGGCATGATGAAGAACCAGATGTGCAACAATTTATGAATCACGATGATTCTTTGGGTAAAATTCAGAGAAGGGTGAATGTTGAAAGTGCAGACCAATTCAGGTGTAGTGAATGCCAACAATGTTTGTTACTGTTTGTTTTTCTATCATAGCTATCCTCCCTGCCAATCTTCCTGCAACCAAGCATGCCAGTCCTAAAGTCAATCCCAGAATTCAACCTGCTGAACCAGAAGCTGAGCTGATTCCACATGCTCTCTTGAACAAGAGAACAACAAAGAAGAGGAGGAAGGTATTGCAGTTTGAAAGAAGCATTTCACCTAGCCAAAGGTAGTATGCAAAGTGCTGTCGGAAGGCTTGTCTTTCATCCCAGAAAGTGGATTCTCTGAAGGAATGGTCTGATTTTGCCCAAGTAGACTGTACCAGCACCCCTCTTGGAGTGAAAGCAAAATCTTCCAGACCAATTGATCATCATATTCCATTATTTATTTATTTATTTTATTTTATTTTTATACCGCCTTTCTCCAACAGGACTCAGGGCGGTGACCAGCCGAGATAAAACATAACATACCAAATTTAAAAAACAGTTTAAAAGACATTAAATAATTTTGGCCCTCAATTTAAAACAACCCAGTTAAAACCAATTTCAAATTAAAACCGAAAGGATGGGATCAAGCCAGCCCGGCCAGATGAAATAGATGTGTTTTCAGGGCCCGACGAAAAGTCCGGAGGTCTGGTATCGTGTGTATCTCTGGGGGTAGGTCATCCCAGAGGGCAGGTGCCCCCACAGAGAAGGCTCTCCCCCTGGGGGTCGTCAGCCGATATTATCTGGCCGACGGTACCCTGAGGAGGCCCTCTCTGTGCAAGCGAACTGGCCGGTGGGAGGCTATTGGCGGCAGAAGGCGGTCTCGTAGATATCCCGGCCCTAAGCCATGGAGTGCTTTAAAGGTGGTCACCAACACCTTGAAGTGCACCCGGAAGACGACCGGAAGCCAGTGCAGCTCGCGCAGGAGAGGTGTCACATGGGAGCGCCCTGTAGCTCCCATAATCCCCCACACGGCCGCATTCTGGACGAACTGGCGCCTCCGGGTGCACCCCAAGGGGAGCCCCATGTAGCGAGCATTGCAGTAGTCCAGGCGGGAAATGACGAGTGCCTGAGTGACCATGCGTAGGGAGTCCCGATCCAGAAAGGGACACAATTGGCGTATCAGGCGGACCTGATAAAAAGTCCCCCTGGCCACGGTAGTCATATGCTCTTCTAAAGACAGCCGTGCATCCAGGAGGACGCCCAAGTTGCGAGCCCTCTCTGTGGGGGCCAGTGATTCGCCCCCAATACCAGCGATGGCACCAGCTGGCTATATCGGGACGCCGGAAGCCACAGCCACTTAGTCTTGGAAGGGTTGAGTCAGAGCCTGTTTCTCCCCATCCAGACCCACACGGCCTCCAGGCACCGGGACATCACTTCAAGGGCATTGTTGGGGTGGCCTGGGGTGCAGATGTACAGCTGAGTGTCATCAGCGTACTGATGAAACTCCACCCCAAAGACACGAATGATCTCACCCAGCGGCTTTACATAAATGTTGAACAGAAGGGGCGAGAGGACCGACCGTTGCAGCACCCCACAAACAAGGCGCCTCAGGGTCGACCGCTGCCCCCCTGCCAACACAGATTGCGACCGGTCAGAGAGGTAGGAGGAGAACCACTGCAAAACGGTGCCCCCCAACCCCTCCAACCGGTGCAACATGATACCATGGTCGATGGTATCAAAAGCCATTGAGAGATCTAACAGGACTAGGACAGAGGAACAACCCCTATCCCGAGCCCTCCAGAGATCATCCACCAATGCTACCAATGCCGTTTCCGTGCTGTGCCCAGGCCTGAAGCCAGACTGGAGCGGATCTAGATAGACAGCTTCATCCAGGTACTGTGGAAGCTGCCGCGCCACCACATACTCAACAACCTTCACAATAAAACGAAGGTTGGAGACTGGATGATAGTTAGCCAAAACAGCCGGATCCAGAGAGGGCTTCTTGAGGAGGGGCCTCACCACCACTTCTTTCAAGGCGGCCGGTAGGACACCCTCCCTCTAAGAAGCGTTAATAATCCTCTGGAGCCAGGCTTGTGTAACCTCTCGGGAAGCCAGCACCAACCAGGAGGGACACGGGTCCAATAAACATGTGGTCGCGTTCAGCCGTCCCAGAATCCTGTCCATGTCCTCGGGAGCCACAGGATCAAAACTCTCAAGACCTGCCTCAATCATCCCGTCCGGATTTACCCAGTCAGAGGCCAGGCCTTCCCGAATCTGAGCGATCTTGTCATACAGATACTGCACAAAATCCTCAGCTCGACCCTGCAAGGGATCATCCCGCGCTCCCAGATGGAGGAGGAAGCGGGTCACCCTAAACCGGGGGGCTGGGCGATTATCTGATGACGCAATAAGGGCGGCAAAATAGCTAGATTTTGCTGCTTTTATCGCCAATAGGTAAATCTTAATATGAGACCCCACCAGTGTTTGGTCGGATTCGGAACGGCTGGTCCTCCAACCGCTCTCCAGGCGTCTTTTCTGGCGCTTCAACTCCCTCAGCTCCTCGGAGAACCAAGGAACTAGGTGAGTTCGGTGCCGGGTCAGAGGCCGCAAAGGCACGACGCGGTCTAAAGCCCCAGCTTTAGCCGCACTATCCCAGGTGGCCACCAGGTCTTCAGCCGAGTCATGAGCCAGAGTCTCAGGAAATGGCCTAAGCTCCATCTGGAACCTATCAGGATCCATCAGGCGCCTGGGGCGGAACCACCTAGTTAGTCCCGCCTCCCTGCGGCGGGGTGTAGTGGTTAGAAAGTCAATTTGAAGGTGCGAGTGGTCAGACCATGACAAGGGTTCGATGGCTATATCCCCTGTATCAAGGCCACTCGACCACTGACCAGAGATAAAAACTAAGTCCAGAGTGTGCCCGCCCGTGTGAGTAGGGCCATGAATTAACTGAGTCAGGTCCATGGCCGTCATGGAAGCCATGAACTCTCGAGCCACCTCAGACGTTTCACCGATAGATGGCATGTTGAAATCCCCCATGACCAAAAGTCTGGGGGTATCAACCGCCACCTCGGCTATGACGTTGAGCAGCTCAGGCAGGGCTGTTGCCATGTGGCAGGGAGCCAGGTACATGATCAACAAGCCCATCTGCACTCCACGGCCCCACTTCACAAGAAAGGACTCACATCCGGCTATCTGTGGAACAGTGATCTCCCTTGGATCAAGACCTTCCTTTATAATAACTGCCACTCCCCCGCCCCTGCCCTGAGCTCTTGGCTGGTGGAATGCACGGAAGCCTGGTGAGCACATATCTACGAGGGGAACTCCCCCCTCCTGGCCCAACCAGGTCTCCGTAATACCTGCCAGATCCACTCCCCCCTCCTGAATAAAATCGCAAATGTGGGGGGCTTTATTTACCACAGACCTGGCATTGCACAGCAACAGCCGAAGGCTCGGGCCCTGAGAGTCTGAACAGCCTGGGAAACGAGAAGGGCTATGGGGATCAGGGTGTGCCACCGCTCGGAGATAGCGAGTGCACGCCCCCACATGATATGGCCCCCTGCTCCCGCCATATCTGCCCCTCCCACTCAGCGTATTGATGGAGAAGCCCTGAGCAGAATGAACTCTAATGCTCCCCTTACCCCCGGAATCCGCACCCTCCATGGCCCGACTGGCAGCTGGGCCAGACCCCTCCCCCCTGTGGGTTAACCCCCAAAACACACAACCCTCCCACCCCTTAGAACCCCTTAAAATCTATCTAAAAATTTCCCCAGAAAACCCCTCAATCCCCTTTTTGCAACATGCCACCTCTCGGGGTGCCAAAGCCCGTCATAAAGGTAGGTCCTCAATAGAGTGGAGGGCCACACCTGTGAGAGGGGGGAATCTCGCAGAATAAGAAGCTCCGCTGGCAAATACATCTAAATAATCGGGGGAAGCCCATTATATTGCCCATTGACAGTTACTAAGAGTCACATGTCCTTGGCTTTCTCAACCATTCTGAATTGCTCTCCTTTACAAAGCTTAAACATAACTTTTGACCTCTGAGGAATCCTGCCCCCCAGTCTTGAAGGTCAATACTGTGGAATGCCTGGTTGGGAAAGTGTCCACATGACTCCAACCATCAGGGCATGCCGCTTATACCCAGGTAGGATCTTCAGAAAGGCAACTGTTTCCAGTTATCTTATTTGCAGAGATTTAACCCAGCAGTTCTTAGATTCCAGTGACTAATAGGGGTGGGCATTCTGTTGTCCAACTGTAGTCTCAAACAAATGGCTTTTGTGGAGTTCAGAGAATTCCACAAAAGTTATAATTGATTTTCAGCAATATCTGCTAAATGTCATGATGGCGGTACATTGACCAAAAACTCAGATGACATGTGTGATATCCTGAGTAATATTCAGATGGCAGGCTAGTATATTAGTCATTTCCTAATCCACACTGTCTTTTTAGGATCCGTTGAAAAGATCAACAGATCCAGAACAAACTGTGAGTAAATGTGGATCTCTACATTATATGAAATTTACAAATAATATTTGCCTTGTTCTGTGTCCAGACAAGATGAGGCAAGATTTGTGGATTTTGTTTCATTTTGTTGTTTTGCAGTGATAAACTGGTTTGGAAAGTAATAGGCAGTTAGTATGGCTGAAGCCAAAGTTGGATGGGGCTGGTTCCAGACATTCCACTATTCTACACCCATGCACCTTCCCTTTGTAACTTGTGATCTTACCTCACCTAAAGCTGTTGAAAAATAAAAGATTATGGACAGTTTGCTGACATTTCCAGCAAACATGTTCCCAACACCATTCATCAGTTTGCCTAGGGGTTAAGGAGTATAATTTGATTCAAACACTAATCCTGAGGGAAAGTAGAGTGTATTGTTTAAATGCTACTAGTCTTTTGGGAAAGCACATTTTATAATTTGATATATTTGAATATAGTTGAAATACTTTTTCAATTCTTTTCACCTAAGATAAGCTTCATCCTTGTCAGCTTTCTGAAATTAGTATATTCCAGTTTTTTGAAAATGTGTGTTTCAGATCAGATCAAATCTTTATTCTGTCATAGATCAGCAAAAAAAAAAAAGTCCTGTTATCTTAGTTAATTGTGACTCTTGTATTTCATTTGCTGGTCTATGACTGAATAAAGATTTGATTTGAATAGATTTTCCTTTTCTGATGAAATCTTATTATTATGGCATGCTGTCTGGGAAAGAGAGAGGGGAGGAGAGAGAGAGAGATTCACTTAACAGCTGGGGCAAGAAAGGTCATAAAATGGTGCAAAACGTACTTAACCACTTGCTTAGCAGTGGAAATTTTGGGCTCAATTGTGGTCATAAGTTGAGGACTACCTGTATCTGTTTTTCAATCTTTTGCTTAAGGATGGATGGAATATATACAGTCCATTGTAATAGATTCTTGGTATGGGAAGCTATACAAAAATTGATTACCTATATTCTGAATGTGTGTAAGAATAGGCAAATTATTTGGTTGTTGGATTGGGAACTATGTCAAATAGATAGGGAAGTTTAGAATATTTTTCCGAATATGATGCTCTCAATTATGCTCTCAACTTTCAATTATGCTCTCAACTTCAACCCCATCATCCCTGGCTTCCAAATATGGCTATAATAAAACTGTTCTCTCTCTTTTCAGTTCTACTTCTCACTTGCCAAGCAGCTGCATTGGTAGGTTCCATAAAGTCTTCAGATTGAGAATGCACCAGGTAAATTTGCTTTAGGAAGTCAATGGGCATATTCCATATTGTAATTTCAGTGATTTTGGGATGGAGTTTCAGTTGGTAGTGGAAAATCAGAGAAAATGGAATTAATGAAAAAGTTTCTTATTTTAAAGGGCTATTGTTCTATTCTCAAATGAGTGTTGTAGAAGTATTGATGCTGATTTATATTTTCTGTTCATTCGTATTTGTATTGGCAAAACATGTGCATTCATATTTGCAAAAGCATGGAAATTACAAGTTAGGATGATCAGGAAGGCAGGGCGGAGGATTTCGGACAATACCAGTATGACAAAATCGCTCAGATCCGGGGGGATTTGGACTCTGACTGGGTAGATCAGGGCAGGGTGACAAGGAATAGTCTTGAGAATGTTATCTGGGAGGAGTTTGATGCTGTGACTCCCGATGATGTGGATAGGATTTTGGGGAGACTTAGTGCGGCCACATGTTTACTGGACCTGTGTCCCTCCTGGTTGGTACTGGCTTCCCGGGAGGTTACATGAGGCTGGCTCCAGGGTGTTATCAACGCTTCGTTGAGTGAGGGTCACTTCCCCGCTGCCTTGAAAGAGGCAGTGGTCAGGCCTCTCCTCAAGAAGCCGTCCCTGGATCCGGCAATATTGGCCAATTACCGTCCTGTCTCCAACCTTCGCTTCATGGCGAAGGTTGTTGAGAGTGTGGTCGCGCGACAGTTTCCACAATTCCTGGAGGAAACATCCTATCTAGATCCGTTCCAGTCGGGTTTCAGGTCTGGGCACAGCACGGAAACGGCATTGGTCGCGTTGGTGGATGATCTCTGGAGGGCTCGGGACAGGGGTTGCTCCTCTGTTCTGGTCCTGTCAGATCTCTCAGCGGCTTTTGATACCATCGACCATGGTATCATGCTGCACCGGCTGGAAGAGTTGGGGGTTGGAGGCACCGTGTTGCGGTGATTCTCCTCCTTTCTCTCCGACCAGTCGCAGTTTGTGTTGGCAGGGGGGCAGAGGTCGACCTCGAGGCCTCTCATTTGTGGAGTGCCGCAGGGATCGGTCCTCTCGCCCCTTCTGTTCAACATTTATGTGAAGCCGCTGGGCGAGATCATCCGTGGCTTTGGGGTAAGATACCACCAGTACGCTGATGACACCCAGCTGTACATCTCCACCCCAGGCCACCCCAACGATGCCCTTGAAGTGATGTCCAAGTGCCTGGAGGCTGTGCGGATCTGGATGGGGAGGAACAGGCTCAGGCGCAACCTTTCCAAGACTGAGTGGCTGTGGCTCCCGGCATCCCGATATAGTCAGTTGACTCCATCACTGACTATTGGGGGCGAGTCTTTGGCCCCCACAGAAAGGGCTTGCAATCTGGGAGTCCTCCTGGATATTCAGCTGTCCTTGGAGAAACATCTGACAGCTGTAACCAGGGGGGCCTTTTGTCAGGTTCGCCTGATTCGCCAGTTGCGGCCCTTTCTTGATCGAGATTCCCTGTGCACAGTCACTCACGCCCTCGTCACCTCTCGCCTTGACTACTGCAACGCTCTCTACATGGGGCTCCCCTTGAAGAGCACCCGGAGGCTCCAACTGGTCCAGAATGCAGCAGCGCGGGTAGTGATGGGAGCAGCATGGCGCTCCCATGTAACACCACTCCTGCGCGAACTGCACTGGCTCCCGGTGGTCTTCCGGGTGCGCTTCAAGGTGTTGGTCATCACCTTTAAAGCGCTCCATGGCATAGGGCCTAGCTATCTTCGAGACCGCCTGCTGCTACCAACGACCTCCCATCGACCCGTGCGCTCCCACAGAGAGGGCCTCCTCAGGGTGCCATCAGCCAAACAATGTAGGCTGGTGACCCCCAGGGGGAGGGCCTTCTCTGTGGGGGCACCTACCCTCTGGAATCAGCTGCCCCCAGAGATAAGGAGAATCCAAGACCTCAGCGCCTTCCGCCGTGCCCTTAAAACCCACTTTTTCCAGCAAGCCGGGCTGGCTTAAGAAGTAATTTTTAAAAGTTTTAAATTGGTTTGTGATTTTTAATTTTGGGGCCAAATTTATATATATATTAATTGTTTTTTAATATTTGTATTTCATGTTCTTAATTTTGGCTGTACACCGCCCTGAGTCCTCAGGGAGAAGGGCGGTATATAAATTGGAAATAAAATAAAAATAAAAATAAAATCATAAAATCCACATCATGGGTGTAAGAAACTGTTTCTGCAATGTCTCATATTTTCTCAAGCCAAGCAAATTTTTTTCTCTTCTTTCAGTTTCAATTCTCTTCAGTCTGTATACATTTTTAGCCTAGTACTTGGTTGTTATGTCAGTTTTTAAGCACATACAGGAATTTCAATAATAGTGCCAATACTGTCCTATAAATTGAATGTTTATGTGTATGCTATTTTGAATACTTGTTAGTTGGCCCCTTCTCTATTCAAGCAACAATCTAGTTTTATGTGAGGTTGTTTTGTTATTTGTTAAAGGAGTAAGTGTTTTAAAATGGTAGTTGTCATTGCTGGAACAGAAGTAGAGAGAATAATCCCTAGTTATTATTATTTACAGTTTTACCCATGGAACTCCCATCTTAATATTTTCCCCCTCTGCTCAGGATGTCCATCTGGCATCCCTGCATGGAAATGGTGCTAGAGATTTGTTCATTCCTAGCAATCAGCATTCTACTGTAGGCTCACTCCATTAAATTTCTTTCAAGCTGCTACTTGAACATTTTAACATTCTGACACCCTATCTCTTTAGCTTCATCTATTCTTATATAACAGTATCTGTATATCTATACCTACATTTTTAATAGCAGGTGTACATTGAATTAACAGATGACATCTGAGTTGCCATAAATTATTAGGAAAACCTAAAGTGTAAAGTTTGTTTCAATATTATACAGTATCTTCCATTGTAATGATAATACGGTGCTCAGCATGTATCTGTTGGGTAAAAAGAGCACTCAGTTTTCAAAACTAGCTCATTCTGGACCTAAATTAATGATTTTATACCAAAGTGAATGATTCTTCATTTAGTCAGCTTCTCTGACTAGCTTTTATTATTAATAATAAAAGCTATTTCCTCCCCCGTGGTGCACTGAAGATAAGTTTGTAAACGTGTGAACTGAACAAAGTAAGCTGCCAGGACCACTCTGTAACATTGTGCATTGTACTGATATTGTTTATGATACAAAATTAAGTGTTTTTTTTTAAAAAATCCACTGTTAACTTTGCTATTTGTCTTCTTTTTGTACCAGAATTCAAGTATGGAAGGGCAGGTAGTAAAAAAGATATTCTTTAATGGCATGTGGAAAAACTGGAGTCCCAGTCCACATGACAACCCTATTTTCAGGAGGGACGACAAATTATGTTCAGTTATCCTTTAAAATAAATATGGATATTTCTTATCTATGAAGCTTTCAATGTAAAATTTGCTGGAGTCAATTAGAAGCACAAGTGGTGCTGTGAATTAGTTAGAGTAAGTTAGCTGGCCAGCAAAGCCCCTTTTTAACAGATGTGTCAGTGCAGTAATTTTAGAATTAGGGTTGGGACTATTGAGAGTTATGCTTTATGCTTTCCTAAAAGTCCCTTGTGTGCATGGAGAAAAGAGAAGAACGAAGAACATGGAATATTTCACAAGGGTTATATTGCAAGGGATAGTGCTCTCTGGGACAGTGACATCGTGTCTCACAGAATTTTTCTCATTCTCACTCTCTTATTAAATATTAATCAAGCAGCTAAAGTTGTAAGGAGATAAAATGAAAGAAGCTAAAGGGCAGTAATCAATGCTCCCATTTTATAATCAGATCAGACCTTTTTGCAAACTGTCCCAGGCAATAGAAACAAAGACAGATGACCAAAGCAAGATGGAATTGATTGGATGGAAAGATTATGTCTACAGTGAAGAAAACTGATTCTGATCATTTGAGATACTACTGGGTATATCATGTGGCTCAGTTAAATGTGTTTTAAACATGATTAGATAGATTAGTAACATGATTACTATTAATCATGTTTAAAATGTCTTTTAAACATGATTAATAGTAATAATATTACTATTATCAACCTGTCAAAAGATTTACCAAAAAGAGATCATAATATTTCTTGAATTTCAGGGCAGGATTTTTACCAAGAGTCTTTATCAGTCAAGGCCAGTCACGTTAGTTATTTTTTGAAGGGAAACAAAAACAACTCAGTAAACCTTATGTAACAAAATTAAAACATCATTGATTGCACTGTTCATTTTTAGGTAAACAGTATGAATCAAAAATAAATACTAACAGAAGTCACAAAATGGTGAGAAATATTGAAAAAAAGTATGGGATGTTATATTACTTTACATCTTGCTCCAGTAGATTTAGCATGACATAATGTATGAGTTGACCAACTTGATGACTGGTAGGGGGTGTTTGGAATAGCTTTTTTTTTTTAAATTTGATTTATATGCCGCCCTTCTCCGGAGACTCAGGGCGGCTTACAATGCGTTAAGCAATAGCCTTCATACTTTTGTATATTTATACAAAGTCAGCTTATTGCCCCACAAACTGGGTCCTCATTTCACCTACCTTAAAAAGGATGGAAGGTTGAGTCAATCTTGAGCCTTGGAGAGATTCGAACCAGCAGTAATTGCAGGCAGCTGTGTTAATAACAGGGTGCTTAGACCACTGTACTATCAAGGCTCTAGCTTACCGTGACAATATACCTTGTGACCAATTGGCCAAACTCAAACAGGGGAAAACTAAGGTGAGGATAGGTGCATTATCTCATGAAGAGTCAGAATGAGTTTACTGAACTATGCACTAAATGTGGTATAGAAGGCCATCCTAGCAGACAAAGAAGACTATTTATTATTTTATCATGTGTGGTTTTACTCCTGATTCCTCCATCAAGAACAGCATATATTGATATTCCAATTTGTAGTTCACAACAAATATTCTGGTACATTTAACATTAAACAAAGCTTTATTGAATTTATCAGCTTTGATGTAAATACTGAAGAACAGTTATCTGAAATGCAAATTATCAGCTTGGAAAAAAAAGGAACATTCCTCTTGATTGCAGAGAGCAAAATTTTGATAACAGCTTTAATCTGTTATCTTGATTGCAGAGAGAAAATAAAAGGTGCTCAGGACTGCATTGTGTTCAAATATTAACTTATCCTACTTGTTCTTCTGATTCTCTACATCTTATAAGTATTAATGCCGCACCAACCTATATTGATATTTTCAACTGTATATCTTGTTTATGGGCAACAACTTTTTTGTTTTTTCTGGACAGAAAAAATATACAGTTCAAACATACTAATCAACATGGGTCAATGTTATCCATCCAGTCACAGAATCTTCTGGGTATTCTGCAAGCAATTGAATGTACTCTCAAATTAAACTTGACGCTTGAAGCTCAGTCACATCCAGAAGCATTGAAAAGACATTGACTCATGTTCATGCCTTTTGTTAGCAAGCTTTTAGTACAAGGTGTTTTCAAGTACTGATGACAGAAGCAAGATTTTACAAGCCAGAGAAATCTATTCTGAATCAAAAATAGGTCTCATTGCACATATTATTGAAAAAGTAATACAATAGAAAGATTGGTGGCCCAACATGTTTCGGGTAGGATATCTTGCACCAGAAAGTATGGGAACTTGGCAGTAATTAACTGAAGCAGAAAGTTGAAAAGAGTACATGTGGATGCTAGCAAGGTGTGTCATGCTTTATCTTATGATGAATTTTTATTCAAAATGATTTTATTTTTATTTTGATATTATGTGCAAATTGAAATGAGGTTCAAAGCAATCAACATATTTTGCATTCCATTCAGCTCTAAAATATGTGCAATTGGAACAATTGCAATTACGGTATATAAGAACAAGAACAGGAAGAAGCTTCTAAATCGTCTGCTTTTCAAACATCTGACATCTTTCTGAATATTTTTTCTTGGGGAATATTGCAACTGGAAAAAGAATAATCCAATCTACTTGTGGGGGAAAGGTAAAACTTTGCCTCATTAATCTTATAAAAATGTTTTTACAGAAAAGCCAAGTAGCCCATAAGCAATTTTTATCAGAAGACATCTTTTGAATTGAGTAGATAGAGCAATTGCTTTAAATTGAATTGATCTATCAGTTTATTGCCTTATTGATCCATTAGAATAACAACAACAAAATCATATCTGGATATTACTATTTTGAAAAGCAACAGTTAAAAAAAATTTATACAATAGTCAGCAATGTATAGTTGAGTAAAACAGAATCCTTTATGCACGAGACTATGTATATGGGATGGGGTACAGGCAAGGATCAGCAATTTGTATCAAGCACCATGTGGCAAATTTCTGAACTCCGAAACAAAAAAAACTATGTTGTAGCTGATCCTGCTACTTTCTACATTTTACAATAAAAGATAAATCTTCTGCAAGGCAATTTAAATCCTTTCTCATGAAACGACCTGTTTGCCCCATCTCTCTCCATGCTTAGATCCTGGGGGTATGGCAACTCTAGTATTTCCTTTAAAAAAGGAAATACATTGGTGAAGGGCTAAGTAGTCTTACCTACACATTTCATTTCCTAGCTTTTCATTTATAGTAAAACATCTGGGGGGGGGGGATATAAGGCATTGCCATATTTAGCTTGC